TGTTACATACTGGACAAAAAAGTGTTTATTCAAGTGAGTACACAATTTTATAAAAATATCCCCCAAAATATTCATGATCCCTAATTGTTTTGTTCAGTATAGATGTCTGTTCTGTTACAATCGGTGACTATCGTGTTTTTCTTGAAGGGTAACAGGAAAGACAGTTATAACACGGGAGAACGGTTTCTTGGTATTAAGACAGCACTTCCCACTGATAGGGTGAATAATTGAATAAAAACGACAAAACCATTCATAAGAAATCTCTGCTAATTATAAAAGCCGAGTCGATGGTACGATTATGTCATGAGCATGTGTTGATGTGTTCGCGAAAAGGTGAGCGTATCCTGCCCCACCATGGGAACCATCACACACACATGCACAGGCATGTCAGTTGTCCACCAAAGTCTCGAGCTGCTGGAATATTGCTCGAAAAATTAAAGGGAAAGTTGACTGTTGGAATTTTGAAGTCATCCCCCTTGTCCCACAGACTTGTGGAAAGTTTTTTTTGCCAGGAAGGGAATTGGCTATTTGACCATTATTGAACGATATCGATAGTATCGCTTGTCACGGTGTCGTAAAACTAGTCTAGTTACGGTCTAGAGCCCGCACGGCTTCCCCCTCCCTTAATCGTCAGGCTTCCGTGAGCATTCGGCAAAGTCCGATGGTCGTCGTTGTCCAGTGCCTTTACGTTCATTGCTGGAGAATTAGGGACCCATACTTTTTATTCTCTAGCTGCATAATCGCATACTTTTATCATGTATTGATTTGATGTATGTTACATCATATATGTTTGCTACCCTATTCATGTATGGAAAATGTTTTAGTAACTTTGACTTTCACGCAGTAGCGCGATTTTCTTGATGTACTCATGTACCTGTATTTATGGTCATTTTTGCCACCTCAATAATTGTACATATCTGGTTGTAATGTTTAGTGGTACCGTTGGAGAGCTTATGTTCAGCGCTTTATTTTGGTACTTACATACTCCGTATTGGTCGAGTAGTTAGTTTGCTAGTCGGGTTTTCCCTTTGTTAGGAAACACAGTTTGGTTATCTCACCATGATATAGCATCCTCACGGCCATCTTGCCGAGGCAAGGGCGTTAACAGGGGAAACTAGACCTTTATAGTCAGTTAATTCCCTTGCCTCGGAAAGATGTCCCACGGCTCACTAGGACAGGTTGTTCTCTACGACGTCCGCGCACTCGTACAAAACCATTGATGTGTTTTTTCCGTCAGGCACCGCTAGACCGTTTACCGGTCGTCTTGCTCGTGGTTCTGTCAGGTCGAAACTAAGACTTCGTAAGTAAGTGGTTATGGCAGTTTTCTCTCTGGTACTAACTTACTCTGGTGTTATTGAGCTAAAACGTATTAGGTAGGCTTTTATATTTCGTACCACGTTTTTCTAGTAATCCGTGGTTAACCAACAATCCGTCTATGAGACCAGTTGCTATTCAGGCGTTTTTCGTGTATTTTATGGTTCAAGAGACTTATTTTAGGGATAGACCCTCTGTGTATATTTCCCGTCATTTAACCCAGCCGAGGGTATTCATTCCTTAGAGTGCTGAGCTAATTAACTATCAGGTGTTAATTGGTCCCAGTCGAGTTAACTGACTGTCAATGCATCTTGTCAATATCTTGTCAAAGTGTTGATTAAGCTACTCTACTTTTTATTACTGTTATACAGTTGCTTAGCTAATCAGCTTGTATATTTGCTCTCATTTTATTAATCAGTGATCATTGTCAGTGTAAATTTGTTTTTTGATCTTTTTATATTGTCTATTGATACAATTAGCTAATAGCAATAAACCTGTGAATCTAATACCAAGTTTTTCATGATTACTTTATTCTTGTTATAATGACACCCTGGTCTCTGGAGCACCGCACCGTCACATCGATATTCCTGAAACAGTAAGTTCTTTGCCAATCTTATTGAATTCCATGTAATGAATTATCAATTTATTACCAAAGCAATATTTAAAAATAGAGTATGTTCCCTCCTAATAGGGGACAGGTTTACCTTGATGGTTATTTGATGCGACAGTTTGCATTTCAGGCACATGGTGCAATCACGGAACAGGAAGAAGGGTTACCATTGGGACACTGGCAAACTCCAGGAATCAGTGGTGAGAATTGTTGTCATGGTGACTGGGTGGGCCTTTTCCAAAGATTAGAGATTTTAAAAATACAAAATGATTATTTTTTATTTGTATGTTTAGGTCAGCTTAGAAAAGCTGCTTCTTGTTTTGAATGAATTATCTGAAGCTCAAATGTCGATTGGGAATCTAACGTTTAGTTTAGTTCATTTATGCCTAAAATATATACTGTAATTTCTAATTGGTTTTCATAGGGACCTTTTCAATAAGGACTTTCCAAATAAATAATCTTCAACTGCAAATTGAATAATAGTAACTTTAAAGTAAGTTTAATAACCCATATGTCTAAAATTAAAAAAACACCCCTCAAATTGTCTTACGAGGTTGAAGCCCCGCTGTTACTGTGCATGTTACTGAAAACGACAAGAACGACGAGAAACGACGACAATGGCGGCTGTGCATGACCATATCACAGTAATTGCATGATTATATGTCATCGCACTGTTTCACGATTCATCACGGGGTTGTGTTCAGACTTCGGTCATCAATAGGCTGACACACTAACTATGACTCAACCACACTCACTCACTCACTCACTCGCACACTCACTCACTCACTCACTCACTCACTCACTCACTCACTCACTCACTCACACACACACACTCACTCACTCACTCACTCAGTCACTCACTGGCAAGACGTAATTAGTCTGGCTCAGAAAAGGTCATCTGAGCATGTTGATCATCTGAACTTTCTATGCGAGTACTTCATCATAATCAACCATATCCTTGAAGCCACAACTTATGAACTATCCACGTCAATCACAAGAGTAAACTCTGGCTAGGGAATATACGCCCGTCAGCACGGGGCCGTATACACAACCACGAGGAAACACACTTGCGTCGTTGCCTCCGCGGGACTATTTCCAATCTCATGGCTCTGTATATATAGAAGTAATAAAGTAGAAATAGGAAAGTTATTAATTTGTTTTTGAGAGAGTGCTTCAACTACAGCATTCCGTCTTTCGTTTTTTGTGTTGAGAAACTGGATTCCGAATGCATCTAATGATTCTGTCAACCCTAACAAGAACAAAGGATGACACAGGAATTTAGACGCGCGTTTGTATCCTGTTTAAGGTCAATGTTAGTCGATGAATAATCATTTCTAAGACACCAATTGTTTAGGTTGGGCATATTGTGTGGATTCGTAACGGAAAAAAACATGACTGGTTACTGCTCTGAAAATATAGAACATAACGGCTGGAGAATGGGTGTATATCTCATACATAACACGTGGGGAATCGGTGTATATCTCATACATAACAGCTGGAGAATCAGTGCTCATCTCATACATAACACCTGGAGAATGGGTGTATATCTCATACATAAAAGTTGGAGATCGATGTATATACCACACATGACAGCTGGATAATCAGTGTACATCTCATACATAACACCTGGAGAATCGGTGTATATCTCATACATAAAAGTTGGAGATCGATGTATATACCACACATGACAGCTGGAGAATCAGTGTACATCTCATACATTACACCTGGAGAATCGGTGTATATCTCATACATAAAAGTTGGAGATCGATGTATATACCACACATGACAGCTGGAGAATCGGAATATATCTCATACATAACAGCTGGAGAATCGGTGTATATCTCATACATAACAGCTGGAGATCGGTTTATAGCTCACACATAACAACTGACATCAGGTGTGACATCAAATACAAAGAGAACGTCGACTCTGAAACGACCCGGGTGCCTTGTGCATGCAGTTGTTACACAAATCAACAATATTGCATCCTGCTAGACTAGATAATAGACGCTTCTATCGACACGTCGCTTTGACTTCATCATAAAAGGGCTGGAGCTAATTTAACTCCTGGCAGACGCGTTGCTTCCAAAACCGCCTCGTTGAAAACAATGACGATTAGATATCGACAAACTCTTGGTCATGGGGTTGAGCGACGATGCATCCTGGTACATATTTCATTATATTGAAAAGGACATGTTATTGACATGTAACACGCCCCCGGCCTTCCGTGTCTATTTCAGCCCATTGCCTATGCATGTCTATTTCAAAGTGACCAGTAACATGTTTCTGACGCTGAAGAAAAAGACACAGTGATTTAATAACCTACGATGCATATAGTTCTCTGTTGCTTGTGTATAGCATACTACACACAGGGTCCATGGAACAGGAATAGACAAAGTTACAAAAGATGACACTGGATATGAACAAATCCAAACAATCTTTAAACAAAAACAAAAAGAATTCTCAAAATTAATATAAACTCACAGAGACAAAAACGATTATTAATTTTATTTTCAAATTCAAGTTAAACTGTTACCTTGAAGTTACTGACATTATCTATAATATTTCTCTTTAATAATTTAATATTTCTCTTGGGTAATAAAATATAACGTAATTCCACGGGCTACGGCTATTTACACAACTGGAAACCATTGCCTTTGGCAGTATGCAAAATAATCACCTGACGATATAAAGAGGTACAGCCTGTAGTTTCAAAGTCCATTCTTCCAACCCAACCAAAACCCAACCAAAAAGGCACAAGAACATTGCCCAAGTGAAAAGGCACCCGTTATTGTTATTAATATTGATAGTGGAACGGATATAAATAACTTAACCTGAAAAACGGATTTGCACGAGTTTGCTCGTTCCCTATGTCAACGCCTGCAGTTTTGTCTGCAACAGGTTGGCCCTTCCTGTCATCTCTGGGACGGGCTTGGCGCTGACACGGACATGTAGGCATTGCGAGATCGAAGGCGCGGGCTTCCAAATGTCGTATTTATCTGAGAATCCTGAGAGTGGTTTCTCCGTCAGCGATTAGCCGGATCGGCACGCAGAGCAGGCAACAAACAGCCGGCGATCTCACAGTATGCCAGCTGTGCTACCATCAACTCGAGCGGGCGGTTGTAGTAACAACAGGCGACAATAAACGAAACCCGTCCGTCCCGTTGTTTGTCACGGGTGACCCGCACAGGTAGGTTGTTCTCCCTTTCCACGTGACATCTGATCGATCGATAAGCTCTGTGACTGGGTAGCGGGTGATTTTGTCCTTACCGTCAATAATTAAGTCCATACGGGAGTTGAGAGGCTCTAACACGTCCACAATACCACTTGGATGCTACTTGTTCCGGAAGCCGAGAGAACATTTACTCGCTTGTTTGTCAGTGATAGCTTGTCAGTGGCACAGACTGGACATATCACAACAGCCGAGGGGATCAGCGTTTGTTAAAGCACTGGGTTATGAATGTTGCGCAACATCGAACTTCGATAGGCACCACAAGGAGTACTTTACGAGGATTTGCAAGTTTCCAAAGGGGAGTTTGTCGTTTGATGTGCCATTATGTGTGATCTTATGGAATATTTCTTGACTTCAAAGAAGAGTTTTTAAATCCAAGATAACTTTGGAATATTTGAATAATGACCAACGAATTTTCTTAAAGTGATTCAATGTGGATTTTATCTTCGACAGAAACTTGGAGGTTTATAACGTTTAAATCGAAGACAATGCACTGAACGAGAAGGAGAGGGGACCTGCATCAAGGATCTTGTGTACACAGGGACGACACTGACAAGAAATCATTCATTTCTCTGGCAGACCTCCGAAGACCTTTTTCGGATTTGTAACAAAAACTCTAAAATTGTTTTCCGTTTAGTTACAGTTTGAATGGTTTTCAAACACAGGTCCACTCAAGCTTATCGCTGTGTCAGGTTCGTTTGGTATCGGCGGCAATCCAGACACCTAACTTGTCCCTTGCTGTTACCCACAGGCACTGGCGTGAACAGTGATGGAGTATACGGAAGGTTGAAATATGAATTATCGATGATATAACCGTGGCAGATTAATCTGGGCTGTTTCAATGAATACCGCCCGCCTGTAGTTCTTCTGGTCCCGTGCTGCTGCTTCAGCGTTGTGTGTGTCAGCGGCCAAGGCAACTCATCAAGTGATAAACGACAACGGTAGCTCTTGTCATTCATTACTTTGATCATTCCACACGTAATTATCGACTGTCGTACAGTTAGACTGTAAACAGCAACAACAATCACTTTCAGGTCCCATTTATACAAGTCGAACCTGAATGACAACAGTAAACCGGGGAATTGAAATTAACTAACAATCCAGAGAAGATTACTCCGGTTTAACTATACAATGTATCATTTGGATATAATTCAACGATTTACTCTTGGTTATACACGTAGCTGACAAATAATAATCTGTCCTGGTTAAAAAATTTAAGTTTTGAAAGGTGCTACGTAAAGAGCGTGATTTCATTCCCAGAACTCTCTGGCATGTTTTGACGGGAAATAAAAGAGTTTTAACACTGCGCACCAAGTAGCCGAAACATAATTCTAGGTGAATTATATTAAATATTGTCCAGTAACACGAAGCCACAAGTGACATCTGGTATTTCACCATGAAACTAACATCGCCACAGTGACCTGAGAGCGTATCTCGATGTCAGATTGCTGCACGTGTGTGAAATGTACATGTCATGAAATGGACAAGGGGAAAGGCGTGTTCGTGAAATATACAACACTGTGGGATATTGACAGTTGAACGAGTTGCTTGTTTCATTAAGGAATATTGCTGTAATTGTGATCATATCGTGCTCACGCACGAAATATTTTATAAAATATCTACATATGTCACAGATGAAATTGCCAACGGAATTCTATTGAGGTGATTTACGCTGCAATTTATGAGTGTAGCACTTCATGAATAGATCACTCATAGCAATAGCTTACAAAAAGCAATAACATATTTAACCGGTGGCCTGTTACGGCTGCACTGTCCACATCATGATATTTGTCTCGAGGCAAAACAGAAGAAGTGGGAACTGGATAGTGTAGCAATCTCCATTTGGCAGTATTTGTGTGGTCTGACTGAAGTATGTACCAACAGTGATTTCAACATTGGATATTACTAAGATAACGATGTTTAATCCAGGAGAAATAGGCAACAGAAGGAGGCGTAGAAGAGGTAAGTGATTCTTCCATCTGTCGTTGTCTTGTATTGCCATGGCAGCGCATGAGAAATGCGTGCGCAATACGGAACATCGCACGGGAATTGCGTGCATGTGCCGGGCATGTCGTGGACTGATGTACATTTCGTCGTGCAAGGTGTATTCCTTCGCCAACGCCCTTAATCCGATATCTCTCTATTCTGGACGCATTTCCCCAGCACTGGGTTTCACAAAAAGTTAATGCGAATATTTGTGTTGTCTGTGTTTCATTTCAAGTGAAACCTTTATATACTTTGCAGGATTTCTTTCAGGTAAAATATATCGTATAATTTCATTGGTACAATGTTTACTTTTCAGCAAATTGAACATTTTCATTTTTCTCACTAAACTTAGAAAGAAAAGTCGAAGAACAACGTTTATGTCACACCCCTGTCTTTGACACCATGCTGACATGATCGCATACAAAATATTTCTAAATATTACAGTCAATCAGCCTGAATGTCGATTTAGGAAACAATATATTATTTGACATATTAAACATGATAATTTCAGGAATAAAATTACGAACATTTGCACTAATTGTTCATGACACAAAGTCAGAGATAAATATGTCCACCATTTAGCCTCCACGTGCTGTGCCTATTTTGTGGACATTGTCTGAAATAAATCATTCAACGTGAATTCTATCTGTCGGTACAAACGTGTTGGCATAATGAAGGACCAAGCTGCTTCACGTCCGTACTTGGAGCAACGCATTGTCATATCCGCTATAAAGGGAGATATTTACAAAATAGATGCAGTTTGCCCGCGTTGCTCCTTAACGTGAACCTTAATGCGATGTCGAATGGGAAACTTCCATATACGACGGTACGTGGTTGTCAGGCATCTAATACTAGTTGTTTCGGGTCTGGATTGAGTGTTTGGAATACAGTGTTCATCAATAATCGGCTACCAAGCGGGGTCACCTGCTGTTGTTATTATGTAATGAAACGAAGGTGTTAGAGTTAGTGCACTATAAAGCTATGTGTTTTCTATATCAACACCTACTATTGTAGATTCCCAGGTAACTCCCAGGACGCCATATGGCGTTGAGTGAAGGGGTGCCTATGGGCAATGCGCCCCGTGCTTATTTAATGGCCCCGTCACACTATAACGTATAGCAATAACGTATGGCGACGTATGCGAATTTTTACCAAAACGCCGGCAACGCTGAAACACGCTATGAATAAGTTAGGTGTAAGTTGTATACGTTAAAAGCACGCTGGTATACGTTGCAGTACGCCGAGGCTTAAAAACGTTTTTGTGCATGCACAAAATTTTCGGCGTATGGGAACGTATGAACCATTTACATATCTAGACTCCTCTCGCTTTTCGTGGTAATTTGATGAATGGGTGTGTACACTACTAGTTATACTCCCGCGGGGCCCGTTATAGGCACCTTTCCCTACGCTGAGCGCGCTAGTCATACGTTACTCATACGCTGGCCATACGTTGAACAAGCCAGACACACGCGGGCAATACGCTTTTATACGCTGTCAAAAGTTATGTATAAGTCAGTGATACGCTACTAATACGTTAGACATGCGCGCGTTACATATACGGTGAACTCATTATGTATACACTATTGATACGCCCAAATCATGGTTTTTCGATGAAAGCTCGACGTATGACAGCGTACTAACTGTATTTTACACCCTAGGTGCAAGTTACTCTAAAACGTTGTAGTGTGACAGTGCCATACATGAGGGTGCCACCCTACCCCTCCCCTGGATCCCGAATACCCTAGATAGAGCCGTTGATCTTAACTCACCCTAAACAGACGCCCGAATCGCGCGTACCAAAAATGGGGTTTGTGGCCTCTTCAATGGGACCATCCTGACACGGCTCTTACAGTCTACACAGGAGAATAGGTTTCCAGCAAACCATGCCTGCCGTGAGAGGCGATTAACGAGATCGGGTGGTCAGGCTCACTGACTTGGTTGATGAAAATCATCGTATCTTAATTGCGTAGATCGATGCTTATGTCAATCACTGGATTGTCTGGTCCAGACTTGATTATTGAAAGACCGCCGTCATATTGCTGGAGATATGTTGAGTGCGACGTTAAACAAACAAACAAACAAACAAACAGGATTCCGTTAATTTTCAGGAACCCATAGCAGCTTGACAAAGTGTTTACGTATAGAGAGACAGCTGATTAACTTTGTCGTGTATTACATGAACTACATGTTGGCAAACAATTATCGCTTCTCATGCCTCTTGACGGCGGATGTTTATGTCACTGGTCAATGTCGTGACAGGATCGATATGTTATTCCATGTTCATCACATATGCTGGACTGAGCCAGCAGAATATTATGGCCGAGTTAATATGAAGACAAACAGGTTTGACGAGCGAAAGCGATTTGATACTGTCTCATCACCACGTAGGATGATCAGGTAGGGTCAGAACCACCCCTTGTTATACACATGTCTATGTATTGTCGGTGGACGGCTTGACACTGTGTGAATCGGCTTGATTAACGGCTTGACACTATATGAGGTGGATTGATTAACGGCTTGACACAATGTGAGGTGGCTTGATTAACGGCCTGACACTATGTGAGGTGGCTTGATTAACGACTTGACACTATGTGAGGCGGCTTGATTAACGGCTTGACACTGTGAGGTGGTTTGATTAACGGCTTGACACTATATGAAATGGTTTGAATAACGGCTTGACACAATGTGAGGTGGTTTGATTAACGGCTTGACACTATGTGAGGTGTCCTGATTAATGGCTTGACGCTATGTGAGGTGTCCTGATTAATGACTTGACGCTATGTGAGGTGTCTTGATTAATGACTTGACACATTTATTAATGTGAGGTGTCTAATGGTTTGACACTGTGAGGTTATTGATTAATGGCTTGACACAATGTGAGGTGTCTTGATTAATGGCTTGACGCTATGTGATGTGTCTTGATTAATGGCTTGACGCTATGTGAGGTGTCTTGATTAATGGCTTGACGCTATGTGATGTGTCTTGATTAATGGCTTGACACTGTGGGGTTATTGATTAATGGCTTGACACAATGTGAGGTGTCTTGATTAACGACTTGACACAATGTGAGGTGTCTTGATTAACGACTTGACACAATGTGAGGTGTCTTGTTTTACGACTTGATAAGGACATTAGACTGTCATTTCAACAGCTGCTTCGAATAAACAGCTACGTCACTCAACACTACTGTGCTGAAAGGTACTCGATATATTAGCATGATATCCTATTGCTGAATGGAAGATCTCTGTTGATATGTTAACTATAAGCTATTATTAACTGTAGTTATGACGTCATAAACAGATAAATTGTGTTCAGAAGGATAATGTCTATTTCACGTCACAGACGATTAACGGATGGATTCAATGCGTGACATGGCTGAACCTACGCAACAGATCTCTGACGGTTGTGGCAGGTTATCAACCACTGGTTTTATGGTTGTAAATCGATTACTAACTGGCTGTAATAATACAAGCAGCGGATTATAAGAAACACTTTAACTCAGTTCCTTCTTCTCAGGCCCCTGATGGAACTGTTAGATTTCGTTTTTATAACAGTTGATGTCCAATTATTGAAACCAAATTATTCATCACCGAAATGTGTCACCTGTGGTTGTCATAAATATTCCATTTAATTACACCTATATTTTGTGACATGTTCGTTGCCCAATTACACGAACCCGCAAAATGTATATCAGTGCTAAATTGACATATGCATCGACAGTAGCCTATCTCCCCCTCTGGGGTAATATTTCGTTTTAACAAACTGACGCCCCTTCCCAACTGTACATTATATATCGTGTCTCGTGTCTCGGTGTCCCGTCTTCAAGTATGAATAACTAAGATCAATACCAAACACAGAGCCCTCTCAGGCATATCAATAACTGTCGCTACCCACACCCCATCGCCCATCCCCACAACCTACACCAAGTGGCAGTTGGTCAAACACGCCGAGCCTGCATCGCGGCTGAACGACTGGATCAGAACCACCAGTATGAGTGGAGTAAGATTGAACACAGTTTTAATTGGCTAGCGCTTTCAACTCGTACCACGTACGAGTCTCATCAGGCCATAACTGATAATATTTTATAATAACATGATATTCTAGATATAATAGTTTGTGGATGTTGTAACGCATATATCATGTTCTTATAAATATTATGAGTATACATGTAGAGATTGTGTATAATGACCCGCGTGCAACAACATTTAGTGTCCCAAGTGTTGTAAGTATTTATTCCAAGTAGATGTATTATTAATAGGTTAAGTATCGCTGGGCATGCTGTGATGTTGGCTGTCCATAATGACTTTGTGGATGTGAGAGCGAGTTAAGAAGTATTGACCAATATATCGGATGTGAGGATATTCCAGGCATACACGAAGCAATTGATACCGGTCTTCGCTGTTTGTGAAATCGGTCTCTCGGGATAAATTATTAAATATTTGATAGGCATTGGGAGAGGTGAAAATAACGAGATGTAGGTTTGTAGACATTTGTATTGTACAGAAGCACATAACTGGCTCTTTCACCGTGGGGTGAGGTGGGGTGAGGTTATGTGAGGTGAAATAGGGTTTACAATCGCTTCCAAGACTATTGCACTAATATAGCGTCGTGCATGCACGTGTGTGTGAGCGCGCGCGTGTGTGTCTGCTAGTACCAGTCTGGACTAATGCCGAATTTATAGTGCTGGCCCGCTGAGATACCATGCAGCAGTTTAAGATGAATACCCCTATCAGACACAGTTTACTGACCCCAGCCGACCAGTCCTGGTGTTAGCCCCTTAATGCCGAGCACCAGACAGGGTAACAACAAGTACCATCTTTAAGCGTCTTTTGGTATGACGCGGTCGGGGATCAAATCTACGAACTTCCGATCTCCGGGCGGACGCACAACCACTAGACCACGGAGGCGGTCTTATTCACCATTGGACGTGTTAGGCTTGAGTGAGAGAGTGATTAACGCCACTTGGTTAATGTGGG